TGACCACGGGAGGAGGGTAGACCACGGCCCGGGAGTCCCCGCAGGAGGTGACACAGGGCTGGCTGCAGGCGTCCACGTAGGGCTCGGGGCACGTCACCTCGCAGGGGGATGAGCAGCCACTGCTCAGCAGAGCTCCTGAGGACATCTTTGGGGATGCAGACAAACCTACAGCAGGATGGAAATCACGAGATCAACACCCCCAGAGGGGACAACAGATCGTGCTCTGGTGTCCTTCACCAGGAAGGGAAAAAAAAAGGGGGGGAAAGGAGAGTTTAGAAAGGTTCAGGGTTGTCCCTCTTCTGCATTTCCCCCAAGTTCCTGCTGCTCTAGCAATGCTGGGAATGATGGGGAGCAAAGCCAAACCCCATCTGCCTTGGGAAGCAGCTCATCCTCAAGACTTCGTTGGATCATAATATACATTTATATACAGTGGTGGTAAGGAACAATATTGAACCAGGTGAGGAGCATCTATTGCTCCCAGAGCTGTCCTGAAGACACCTTTTGGGATGGAGAGAAACCTGCAGCACAGGCAGAGGAGTAAATTCAAATGCATATACAGCTCTGAGCCTTTACACACCCGCCACGATGATATAATTTATAGTTTCTTGACAGAAGGAATTATTGTCTTAGAAACACGAGAGGAGTTAATCTTTTACTCCAACTTTTTCTCCACTCTGGGTAAAAGCCAAGCTGGAAGTCGTTAAGTTATGACCTCCTCATCAAACAATCAGGATTTAATTGACACTTTCCCTTTGTGGTTTGGGAGAACACAGGCTCGCATTTTAAGACCTGCTCCTGCCAATAATTGCTGTGACTGGCTACAGAAACCTCACCCGCCTAAGAAACAAACCAAAACTGTTATTAAAGAAGCACAAAATCACCTGGGTCGGAAAAGACCTCCAAGATCATCAAACCCACGTTGCTGATCATTGCTGAGCATTGACATTAAATTATTTCCCCAATTAAACACTAGTAACAGCATCCCAGTTAACATAAAGGAACATAAACACACAGAACTTACCGAGGGCTCACCGAGGAAACCAAACTGAAGAGAAGCTGTTGGGGATCCTGGAGGAAACTCGGGGGTTTTTATACCCTCCCAGCAGCTCCCAGGACGTGCAACACACTTTGGGCCACGACATTTAAGCAGCAACAACATTTTGCTGGATAAGCTCCTTCTAATTGTAATAATTGCGTTGATAAGTGGCAATGATTAGTAAATCAGCTGCACATCACCCAATAGGTGCAACACACCCTCGGTCTTACTTTAATCCTGAAATTGTTTTTGTATGAATTTTGCGACCGGGGCCATTTGCTGACCTCGTTTGACTCCCCAGCTGAGCTCCCTTGGCTTTGGGGAGGGGGGAAGGCACCAGGTTTTTGCACCTTGAGCAACAGCAAAAACACCGGTTTGGCTTGGCCAGGGGAAATATTTTCTGTTCTGAGGAGAAAACTGGGATTTAGAATTGCGCAGAGCGGGGAAAACGGGCAAATTTCCTCTTTGTGTCTCGTTTTTCCTGTTTAACACCCACCCCAGGGAACTCCTTACAGAAGGGTTTGAACAGGTGAATTTCTTGGATGTCCACTGTCGTCCAAGAAAGCACCAGGGTGCACCCGTGTGAGAGCAAGCAGTGATTTTTCTCATCATAACTCTCCTGTTGCCACCTCTCAGGAGAGCTGCAACGTTCCAGAGGGACACACAGCTCTTGTCCTGGAGCCACCAGGAAAAAAACAAACAAACAAAAAAATATTTTTGGCTGTGGAAAGGCTGCATAGTAGAGAATGTAAAGGTGCTTTAATCTAAAACAAAATAAAAGAACCTTAAGAATGGCCAAGGACTGGTTGTTTGGGGTTTTTTTTCAGGAAAACCACAGTGGTATTCCTGGATTTAAAACCCCTTGGGTTGTTTGGTTTTTTTTGGGGGGGGGAGGAAGAGACACAAATGCATCGACAGGAAGAGAGATCTCTGAGCAATAACCAGAAACATCACGAAAACTTAGAGAACCGAGTGCTCTGGGCTGGGGGACAAGGTGGGTTTGGGGCACAGGGTGGACTCCGTGGGCTGGGAGGGCTTTTCCATCCCCAGGGGATCCTTTGATCATTCCATGCTTCATTTTTTTTACCCACTGCGATGGTTTTATTTAGTGTTTATACATAACAACCCCCCCCAGACCCCTGATGTTCCTGCCCCCAGTCCGAAAGTAGAGCACAGGGAGCTGAGATGGTTAAAAGATCTTGCAACAGAACATGAACAAGTCCTGTCAGGCGCCAGTGACAGCCCTTGATTTGACAGCTTTGCCTGTCAGCAGTTCTTCATTGACTCCTCAATTAACGTGAAACTTTCTGGTCTCCTGCAGTTGGGTTGAGAAATCTCAATTTACATGAGGAACCCCAGACCCTGCTGCTGGTTCTCCCGTTCCAGC